TGGATGCACCCAAGAAGGAAAGGAGTCTGGCTCTTAGAATAGCCGAAGGTGCAGATCTGGAGGATGTGAAATGGCCATGATCACAAGGAATTTCAAAAAATACCTAATGAGAAGAAAGGGTTCTTCAAGAGGTACAACCTTCAACAAACCAAGGGCTCCTGAGAAACAGACCAACGAGGGTTGCTACAAATGTGGTAAGACTGATCAAATGATCAAGAACTATCCTTAGTGAGAAATTGAATGGAAGAAGGAAAAGGCTGAACGAAGGAACGGGAAGAAGGAACAGGTTCAACCCAAAAGGAACAAAGGATCAACAAAGGCTATAGTTGCTACTTGGGGAGAAAAATCAGATGAGGATTCAGAAGATGAAGCTGGAGATGAACAAGCACTTATGGCCATCGGAGAATCAGATGATGAACAAGAGGTAAGTGTCCTTCATCTCAAAGACAAGATTAAATTTCTGTCCAAAGAAAGGTTGTCTGTACTATTGCTAGATTTCATCGATGAGTCTGAAATAATTAACAATGAGAAGGAAGAGCTGTCTAGGGAGTGTGTGATCTTAAAAGCCCAGTGCAAAAATCTAGAATCTAGGGCTAATAAGAGTGACAGTAAAAATGCTGAGCTGAAGAATCAGGTTCTTGAACTTGACACCAGTGTCCTAGAACTTAGGCCTGAAAATTTAAAACTAAAATTAGGAACAGGTAAGAAGAAAGCTGATCACACTTATCTCACCTTAGAAGAAAACTTAGGAAAAATGAAGGATGAGTTGTACAAGAAAGATGAGTAGATAAGAGTCTTAAAAGAAGACCTAGGGAAGGTAAAGCATGAACTAGACAGAACTTGCAAATGGAATAAGGCTTCTGATGTACTTTCCTGGCTACAAGAACATCGCAGTAGCAACAAGAGAGGACTTGGCTATGGGGCTCAAGTATCTAAGTGGGATCCTAAAAGCAAGTACCTCACTCTTCCTGAAAACAAAATTTGCACACACTGTGGCAAGACTGGTCATTACAAAAATGAATGTAATGCAAAAGAAAAGGCCAGTCAAAAGAACAAAGCCTTTGTTCAAGAAAAAAAATACGTTGCCTGGGTGGGCTAAAAGGAATTTGATTTACCCCTTTGCCTATAGAAAGGGATGCAAACTAGTTTGGGTTCCTAAGACTAACCCTTGATTTCTTTTTGCAGGTCCAAGTGAAGGGAAGTAGCCAAATATGGTACATGGATAGTGGCTGCTCAAAACATATGACTGGAAGCAAGAGCCAGTTCCTTTCACTTAAGGACTTAAAATGAGGTAATGTCTACTTTAGAAATGGGAAGAAAGATGAGATCATTGGGGTTGGAAAGGTAGGTAAGATAGACTCACACTCCATTGAGAATGTATACTTGATAGATGGCTTAAATATAGCCTAATCAATGTATCACAACTGTGCGACAGAGGTAACCTTGTGGCATTTACCTCTACCAAATGCTTTGTGATTAACCTTACCACTGACAAGATTGTTTTGCAGGGAAAAAGAGTTAACAATATTTACATTGTAGATTTATCTACTCTTTTAGAAAATGAACTCACTTGCTTGAGTGTGTTGGACAATGATCCCCTCCTGTGGCACAAAAGATTTGGTCGTGCAAGTCTGAATCAACTCAACAAGTTAGTCTCCAAGGATTTGGTGATAGGGCTACCTAACATCAAATTCAATGAAGACAAAGTTTGTGAGGCCTGTGCAAGGGGGAAGCGGGTAAGATCATCCTTTAAAAGCAAGAAAATGGTAAGCACAACCAAGACGTTGGAACTTGTTCATATGGATCTTTGTGGTCCAATGAGAACATTGAGTAGAGGTGGTAAGAAATATATGATGGTACTTGTTGATGATTATTCTAGGTTTACCTGGGTACTATTCTTAACATCTAAAGATGAAGCATTTGACATGTTTACTGCTTTTGTTAGAAAGACTTAGAAACAACTAGGTAATCAACTTGCATCCATTAGGTCTGATCATGGAACTGAACTTGAAAATGCTAAATTTGCTGAATTTTGTGATGAGCATAGTATAGATCATAACTTATTTGCCCCTAGGACTCCTCAACAAAATGGAGAAGTTGAAAGAAAGAACAGGACTCATGAAGACATAGCTAGGACTATGCTTCTTTCTAGTAAACTGCCCACAGCTTCTGGGCAGAGGCTGTAAATACTGCATGTTATATCATCAATAGATGCATAACTAGACCTCTTGTAGAGAAGACTTCCTATGAGTTACTTAAAGGGAGAAAACCAAATATATTCTATCTTAGGGCATTTGGATGCAAGTGATTTGTACACAATAATGGAAAGGACTCCCTAGGTAAGTTTGATCCTAGAAGTGATGAGGGAGTATTCTTCACATAGCAAAGCATATAAAGTGTTCAATAAAAGAACATTATGTGTAGAAGAAAGTGTGCATGTAGTGTTTGATGAAACTAACATTCTTTCTGAGAGAGAGGAACACGAAGAGGAAGCTATTGGGCTGGTAAAAGACCTGAGTGAAGTCTCAGATCAAGCTAAAATGCACCAAAAGAAGGAACAGGTAATGGAACAGGTTCTTCTATCCAGGGCAACCTGACAGGGGGAACTGATCAAAGAGGAACTGAAACCAATCCCCTAAAGGAACCTGTTCATGACCCTGTTCCTCAGCAACAAAACATGGGAGAAACATCAAGCAGAAATTAGTTGGTTGTGAAACCTCACAAGTATCAAAGTTCTCATCCTATTAAGAACGTAATTACTGATCTAACCTCTGGAGTCAAAACTAGATCACAATTAAAGAATCTGTATACATTTGATGCTTTCCTATCTCTTATTGAACCTAAAAATATTGTTGAGGCTTTGTAGGATGCAGATTGGGTAAATGCAATGCAAGATGAACTCAATCAGTTCGAGAGAAGTCATGTTTGGCATCTAGTTCCAAGACCCAAGGACATATCAGTAATTGGCACAAAATGGGTATTCAGAAACAAACTTGATGAAGATGGAATAGTTACAAGAAACAAGGCAAGACTGGTGGTCCAAGGTTATAGCCAAGAGGAGGGTTATAGATTATGATGAGACTTTTTCTCCAGTTGCAAGACTAGAGGCAACAAGACTCCTCATAGCTTTTGCAGCACACATAGAATTCACTCTTCATCAGATAGATGTCAAAAGTGCCTTCCTGAATGGCTACCTAAAAGAAGAAGTGTTTGTTAAACAACCTCCAGGGTTTGAGAGCAAGGAATGTCCTGAGCATGTGTACAAATTAGATAAGGCTCTCTATGGACTCAAGCAGGCCCCTAGAGCATGGTATGAACGATTATCCGAATTCCTGTTTGAACATGGCTACAAAAGAGGTAAAATTGTTAGTACTCTATTCTTGAGGCAAAAAGGTAAGGACCTTCTTGTGGTACAAATATATGTTGATGACATAATATTTGGGGCCACCACTGACAAACTAAGTAAGGACTTTGCTAAATTAATGGGGAGTGAATTTGAAATGAGTATGATGAGTGAGCTTAACTTTTTCTTAGGCTTACAGATCAAACAAAGCCCAAATGGAACCATGATCCATCAGCAGAAATATGCAAAGGAGCTGATTAAAAAGTTTAAAATGGATGAATCAAAGGAAATAGACACTCCCATTGCAACTACCACTAAATTAGACATAGATGAACCTGGTTCATCTGTTGATCAGAAATTGTATAGGGGTACGATTGGTTCACTTTTGTATCTTACTGCCAGCAGACCTGACATAGTTTTCAGTGTAGGGCTTTATGCTCTCTTTCAGGCTAATCCAAAAGAATCTCACTTGACTGCTGTCAAGAGGATACTGAGATATTTGAAAGGCACTACTGATCTGTGTCTTTGGTACCCTAAAGATAGTAATTTTAATCTAGTAGGGTATGCTGATGCTGATTATGCAGGTTTCCTTGTGTAAGGAAAAGCACCTCAGGTATGACTCATTTTCTTTGTTCATGTCTTGTATCATGGGCCACTAAAAAGCAAAATTCAGTGGTCTTATCCACTGCTGAGGCTGAATATGTTGTTGTTGCCTCTTGTTGTGCTCAATTGCTCTGGATCAAACAGCAGCTGGTAGATTTTGGCATTGAAGTTGGTTGCATTCCTATATTCTATGATAACACTAGTGCTATAAGTATGACAAAGAACCTTGTTCATCATAAGAGGACTAAGCACATAGATGTTAGACACCACTTCTTAAGAGATAACTATGAGAAAGGATTGATCTCCATAGAATTTTGTGCTACTGATAAACAAATTGCTGACATCTTCACTAAAGCACTGAGTAGAGAAAACTTTGAGAGGAATAGGTTAGAATTAGGGATGATTAAGATCACCTAATAGGTCCAGCTCAGAATGCATAATGAAAAAATTTGAAAAAAATGAAAAAAAAATTGTCTAGGAACTCTGAACTTGTGTAAATATTTAGAATAATTTTTACTCAGCTTCATACTTTAATTAGTATACTCCTGTGACATGTGTTAATATGACTCACTGATCTCTTACAAAATTTTCTCTATTATGGTAAATTGAGGCATGTTCAAGAGAATTCTAAATGAAGAACCTGGTTCATCAGTATGGGTTCATCTGAAAGATAAGGTATGTTTTCTATACTCTACACAATTAGAAATATAAATATTTAAATCATGAGCAGAAGTCCTACAATTGTTCAATTCATTAGAAAATTCTATCTGTTAGCTTTGAACCAGTTTCGTCTACCTAGAACTCTAAACCACAAAAATTGCCTAAAATCTAGGGAAGTTAAACCGATTATTCACACCTGTAATTTCAGGTTGATTAGACCTCTAATTGACCACTGCTAAAGTTGTCGTTACCCATTAAATGTGTATTTCTCTTTATATGCACATCATTCCTTCTGCCATCTCCATAATTCCAAACCGTCAAAAATCCCTCTTCACTTTCACTTGCCTCTTCTCCAAAATTCTAACTCACAAATTCTCTCAAGAAACCAACAATCATGAACAACCCACAAGACAATCCTAGAACTCCTCCACCACCCATTCCCTCTAATTCATCTACACCTCCTCTACCTAGTACATCTCCCAAACTCAGGCTGAAAAGGGTGAAAATACTTGCTCGAAAAACAGTCGCGTCTGGGGCTCTCAGGAAGAAATTAAGTGAGAAATTAAAGGCAAGCTAGGCCCAAAACTTTGACTCTAACTCTGATTCTGAATCATATAAATTTGCTAGTGAGGGGGAAGGACCTAGGTCTTTTGACTCTGAAAAGACTCAAGAATCTCCTTCTAAGGTAAGTTCTTCTGTGTGAAAATCTAGAAACTAGGTTTGTTCTGGTTGGGCCTATTAAGTATTGCCTGAGTTACGAAGGAGTAGAGGTAAAAAGAATTCTGAAAAAGAAAAAGAGAGAGGGTGCATGTGGTGAAGAGAGGGGAAATGGGAAAAGAGTGATTGGTAATTCACCCACTGTTGATTTGTTTGTTCCTTCTATCTGTGGGGTTAAACAAGAAAGGGTAGAACAGAGTGGCAAGAAGTCAGGGGGAAGTGGTTCTGGTGAAGCTGCTGAGGGGCTGGTTAATCTGAGCACACAAGGAGATGAACCTGGTTCATCTACTGAAGAGACCCTAGCAGACCTGTTGAAAAAGGCTGGGGCAAGCTATGACCCAAAGAAATGAAGAACTCCCACACCAAAAGCCCCTAGTGTTCCTAAACCCTCCAAGAAAAGAAAGGTTTCATCCCTAGCAACTACTGAATTTTCATTACCAGAGGGTAGAGCTACAAGAAGCAGGGTGAAGCAGGGTGAAGCAGAGTGAGAGTGATCTCCAAAAAGATCTAGCTGAGAGTAAGAAGAAAAAGCTGACTAAAGGAAAAGGGAAGGTTACAGAGTCCCAGAGGTTGTGGAGGTTGAGGAGATGGAACAAGTCCATCATGAGGAAGTTCAACCAGTGGAGGTTCAGACCCCCAAGCCCAAAAAGCCCAAGACTTCTTCCAAGAAGTCTTCCTCTGTGTCTGAGGTTGCTGAACCTTCACTAGCCAAGAGTTCAAGGTCTGCAGTGAAAGGTAAACAAGTGAAAGTTTTTGAAGATGAGGAATGAAGTGGAGAAGAAGTAGAAGATGATTCTGATAGTGAACAAGACAAGCTTTCCACGTTTGGCAAAAGAAAGATTTTGAAGGGTAGATTGCTAAAAGACCTGGTGGAGCAAGGAATGATGAGACTGGTGGATGCCTTAGCTGCTCAGGGGTGGAAGGACATGGTCCTTCAGATGGATGATAGGCTAGCTAGGAATGAGATAATTAAGTTTATGACAAATGTAGAGGTTCAGGATGGCAAGGTTAGCAGCCTGATGAAAGGAGTTCAAGTGTCCTTTGAAGCAGAAAAACTGGGAGAAATACTTGATATACCCTCTGAAGGGTTTGATGATTATACAAGGCAAAGGTGGCCTTGTCTGGATTCCCTTCCTACTGCCCTTGAAATTACCAGGAGGTTTTGTGATGCTGAGGATGTGAATGAAGCCAGGGCTGTTCAGAAAAGTGAAATGAGGCCTCAGCACAAGGTCTTGTTTGAATTTGTCAATAAGTGCCTATTTCCCAGACAGGAGAGAAGGCACATTGCCAATTACATGAACCTAGTTCTTATGGAGTGCCTGGAAAGTGGAAGGCAAATTAATTGGCCTGCCTTCATCATCAAGCTGCTAGACAGGGTCATAAATGGATCCAAGGCTCATGCTACCCCCTATGGCTTTATTTTGACCACGATTATGGATAGGTTCAATATGCCTATGAAGAAATGGGAAATGGCCTCAAGCAAGGATCATTTTGGCATTAACACTCTGATTGTTTGTGACTACTTAGTCAGTGCCATCCCAAATGAACCTGGTTCATCCAAGAAGACTTCTATCAATAGCAAAGTCAGGGCTCTAGTTCAGGAATGTGAAGCCAAGGATGCTGAGATAGCTAGGTTCAAGGCTCGTGTGGTAGAGGTAGAATCTGAGATGGATGCTCTCGGAACTGAGCTTACCAAAGAAAATGAGAAGAATGATGGAATTCTTCATAATATGTTGAATCTTCTCCAAGCCTAAAACCAACCATCTAGCTCCCCCAAGCCTTAGGAATCCTAGCTTTTGTCTCCTGAACCTATCTAGTACCTTCAGTGACCCAGATTAGGGATTTTCTATCTTTTTGCTCATGTTTTAAATGTTTTTTGCTTTCTGGTTGTGGATTGTGGTAGCAACATATCTCTATCAATTATATCTATTGTTTTGCTCTTGTTCAATGTTAATCTTTCCTTGATAGTGTAAATACGTTTGCTTGATTACTTATGATTAAACCATGATTGCACTTGCAGTTGCCCAAGTGGCCATGAGTACTTATTAACATCTGGGACTCACAATTTGTATGCAACTTTTCGATGATGCCAAAAGGGGGAAGAGATATTGTGCTTTACACATTCTGAATAAGTGATATTTATAACCTAATTAACCTGGTCCTTGATGATAAGTGAATTTTCTAAACTTTGTATTGATGGTTAAGTGGTGTTCTTACAGGATTCAAATAAGTAAAAAGCATAGAGTTTGTCATCATCAAAAAGGGGGAATTTGTTGGCCCAAGAATAGGTAAAGTTTTGAAGATTGACAAAAGAACTCAGACATGGACCAGGTCCATCTTGTGAAGCACAGTCATGATCAACCTGTACATGTGAGATGCACTAAAGGAGATAAATCTAACTGATCAAGAAGCAATATCTCCTGATCTGGTCGAAAAGGTTGCATATTGGATAAGGAGAGAAAGACTCCTTACATGAAGAGAACACAGTTTAGGNGACAACTCAAATCTAACCAAAAGAACTTCAAGCACAAATAACACTGATAAGAAACTATTCCGGATCATAAAGTCTCAATCTTTAACAAGATCTCAAAATCAACCCAAAAGTCGGCCCCTAGGACCGACCTCGGAACCCAACAAATTTCACAAACCCGAACACCCATTCCGATACGAGTTCAACCATACTAAAATTATCAAATTCCGATACCATTTCGCCCTTCAAATCATGATTTTTTTCATTTTGAAAATTTTCTTCAAAAACCACCATTTTCCTCAACTCAAAAGACAAATTAAATGACAAAAATAAAGATAAAATCATGGAATATAATAAATTCTAGGTGAAGAACACTTACCCAATCGATTTACTTGAAAAACCCACAAAGAATCGCTCAAAATCGAGCTCTACAAGTCAAAATATGATAAAAATGGCCTAACCCTCAATTTGGGAAATATATTCTGCCTGCTCAGGTAACTATGCATCGCGATTGCGAAGAAGGAAAAAAAGGCTGCCCAGAACGACCCTATGTGAACGCGAAAGAAGAGATATGAATGCGAATAACAGTAAGCTAGACTTATGCGATCGCGTGCCCAAAGATACGAACGCGAAGAACAGAGTGAGGAAGCAAGGCTACTAATACGCGAACGCAGTGCAGAAGATTTCACAAGTCCGCGATCACAAATCATACTATGTGAACGCGATGAAGAAAAATGGGGCAGATCAACAGAACACTACGTGATCGCGGCTGGAACTACGCGATCGCGAAAGAGAACATCAAATACCAGAAACCAGCAATCCAAAATTTGAAGAAATTGGCCCGTAGCCCATCCGAAACACACCCGAGGCCCCCAGGACCCCATCTAAACACACCAACAAGTTCCATAACCTAACACGGACTCTCTCGAGGTCTCAAATCACATCAAATAATGCCGAAACTACGAATCACAACAAGAATCGAACTTATGAACTTTCAAATCTTCCAACTTCTAAAACTCGTGCCGCAACGTATCAAATCAACCCGGAACGATGCCAAATTTTGCAGACAAATCCCAAATGACATGACAGAGTTGTTTCAAGTCTCAGAATTGCAATCCAATCCCAATATCACAAAAGTGAACTATCGGTCAAACTTCCCAATCCTCCAAACTTTAACTTTTCCAACTTCCGCCGAAATGCCTTAAATTACCCTACACACCTCCTATTCCAAATCCGGACGCGCGCCTAAGTCCAAAATACCATACAAAGCTGTTGACATCATCCAAAGCTCATTCTGGAGCCTTTTACACAAAAGTCAAATTCTGGTCAATTCTTACCACTTAAGCTTCCAAAACTGAAATCTTTCTTTCAATTTGACTCCGAATCATCCGATAACTGAATTCGACCATACACGTAAGTCAGTACACATAATACGAAGCTACTCAAGATCTTATGCCACTGAACGGAATTTAAATTCTCAAAACGACTGGTCGGGTCATTATAGCATGTCCTTTACATATGCTAGTTGATGTATTTTACATATGTACGAAATTTATTAGTGAGTTGTTGGACACTTGGAGAGTGTCGGATTGATGAAAAAAGAGAGTTATCATCATACATTAAAATGTTAGACTCATAAACCTGGTATTTTAAAAGTGATACGGAATTGGGTCATTGTTATGTACAGACTGACATTCATGTATGAGTATTTGAGCGCACACACTACTTGGTGCATGTCTCTTTGTGTGTAGAGTTAGTGCAAGTTGTATTTGCATGATTTGTTTAATTGACAGAGCTTGTTTATCGCCCCTAGCCCAGTTGTGTACCTTTAATATTGATATACGTTATTCTCTGACTGTCTTTTCTGGACACTTCTATGTATTGTATATGTTATTGAGTTGCACAAGTTATTCAAAGTGAGTATCTTTTTGACTTAAAACCTCGTAACTACTTCACCGAGGTTAATCAAGATATTTACTGAGTATATGGGGTCGGTTGTACTCATAATAGTTGTGGAAGAAGAAGCTTAGCCTTGACAACGTACTAGTGTTTCATATTCAAGCACCCTCTTATTCATAGTAAGTTTAGAACTTCATTTTTGTTTATGTACCTTTAAAAAGATGTTGTATTTATTCTTCATTCCAACTTTGTAAATCTAAATATTAATGGCTCATGACTTGTACTACCAATCCTTGGGATATATTATGAATTTTTACCTTCTTATTTATAATTATTGATGGACTTTCATTTGAGTTGTATTATATTGTTGGGCTTACCTAGCGGGTTGGACTAGGTCCTATCACGACTTGGTGAGATTTTGGGTCGTCACAAATAACCATATTAGGCAATATCTATTAATTAGATTTTGTCAAATTAATTATTTTTGAAATATTTAAATATTTTAAGGTTTGTCATTATTAGGAACATGCCAATAAATATAATATTTTTAATGAGGGAAGAAAGATAATTTAAGATGTTATTAAATATATTGATACACCGTATATAGAAGCAAAATGATTGTTGTAATTTTAGCGAAATAATTGGAATTAATATACTCAAACAAATAAGAAAATAGTTTTCTATGCTTAGTTTATTTTAATACTGGTTGCGCATTGTGCGGGTTCTTATGCTAGTCTATATATTATTAAAAGAAAATGAAAAATCTCTCTCCTTAAGACAAGTGGCAGCCTAGAAAAACCACATGGATTAGTTATTGGTTATTAGTTTTGAAATTAAATATCTATAAAATAATAAAATAAAATATTTTATAATAAAAAACAAAAATCAAAAAAAATTGTCCATTCAAATTGGAGAGTAGTTTCAAGTTGGAGTGTTTAAATTATTTTAAAATAAAAAAAATAAAAACCTACCAATTCAAAATTTCTTTGTTTTTTTAATAAGTTTGTTTTTCTTTTAAAAATACAAAGTTTAATTATTTAGAAAATATTATTGATAATAATAGAATAAAATAAAAATAAAAATCTATATCTATATATTATTAAAAGGAGAGGAAAAAGCCTCAACATTTAGTCAAGTGGCAGCCTCACAATAAGTCACTTGGCAATTTAGGACAAAGTTAGTTGGATTAGGTAATAATTAGTTTCTGTTGAAATTTAATTTAAAAAAATTAAATTTTATGATAGCTTATATAAGTCCACCAAACTATAGAGCACCTGATCCTTTATGAGTTTATACTGAGAATACTTATGAAGTAGTAAGTAAAAGAGACACGGGATTTTTTACGTGGAAAAATTCCACTCAAGGGGACAAAAACTATGATCTACACTTGTAGGATTTCAACTTCACTAACTTGTAATCTCACTATTACAAGCCACTTTGTAATGACTCTATTACAAAGACTTCAACTTAACTAACTTGTGATACTCTTACCACAAGCCACTTTGTCACTCTCTAGTTACAAAGACTTTAACATATGACTAACTCTAGTCAAAACACAAACTTAGAGGGCTTGTGATTTTTGGGTTTTCTAAAACACAGCTTCTAAGAAAGCAAGATAGGAGTTACAATAAAGAAAGAACTAGATTACAACTCAACTACGGATACACATAGACTCATTGTGAAACTGATCCTTTAGTGGAGTTGTCTTCTTGTTCTTGATAAACTTGTGACTTCAATGTTGGATGAACACTTTACTGCTTGAGAGAATATCACTAAATTCTCAAGTGAATATCTTGTGCCTTGCACCAGGTTGTTATACTGCCAAAGATATCACAATGGTGATGTCAATCCTTGGTACACGCTTCTTCCCAATGAGAAGTGACTGACGCACTATCTGTTGCACTGTCACGTGTACTGTTGCAGACAATCACTTTCTGCATTTGCGTTGCAACTATTATTGACTTGTACTTCTGTTAGAGAACTCCGAGGGATTAGGTCCCTCTTGTGTTCCTCTTTGTAGTAGTTCATTTGCTGGAGATCAGACTGGACTTTGTTCATTTGAGATGTGTACCAAGTGAGTCAAGTTCTCTATCTGGTTCTTAACAATAAGTTTGTTAGATCATCAAAATATAAGAAGCATAAGGCAAAGACATTAAAAACCCATCAATTTCCCCCTTTTTGATGATGACAAACTTAGGCTTTGATAGTATTTGTTTAGAATAGAAATAACCAGACGAGGTACCAGGAACTTCACAAGTTCCCCCTGATCTTTTGCTTTTGATTCCCTTTTAATTAGATCCCCTGTTTTTTAATCAATTTTTCACAAGTTCCCCCTGACCTTTTGCTTTTGATCCCTCGTTGACAATACATCCACCTACTATCATA